TACTACCCAGAAGCACTTTCCGGATGGTGACGCTTATCTGATTGATGTGAATTCAATGATCGATCTTTTCCTATTAATCGATATTAAAAATGATGGAAAAAAAATACTTGTCAGATTTATTATGTTTGTGAGCTAAGAAGTTAATGCCTAAATTTTCCCAACAGTTCATGAAAATATGGGAATAAGGATTACTCGAATCAGATACAGTTTTGTTTATTTCAACAAAGATTCGACTACCTTTTTCTTTATCTCGAATAATTGTCATATTTTCATTAGATTATTATTTTTTTAATAAATATAAAGTATTAAACAAAGGTAAACGATTGAGATGGATGCTTGTAATTTGCACTCATATGACACTTTGGAAGTGGAACAAAATGTAGAGACGCTACCAAATGTTGTTACATATGCTCTATATGGTAATGGAAAAAATATACATATAACACATGTAATGGAATGAAAGAAAAAAAAAATCAAATAATCTAATGAGCAGACAAGGCTGGAAAATGGGCACTGGTAGCTGCTGCTGCTGCTGTGTGATTCCATCCCAAGCATCGGCATCATACATGATAACAACAACAATTTGCTGCAGACCCACAAACTAAACCGTAAATAAGAACAACAACTTGCTGCAGACTAGGAACTGAAACCGTATCTCGTATTCAACACAAACTTTGCCTGCAACCGAAGAAGTTTACGTCTAATGTTAATTAGACAAGCAAAATAAATAGCAATCTTCAGATCAGCTGCTTCGATATTGCGTGGCATGATCATAAATTCATGTCAGTGTCCATCGAATTCCATTGATTATTATCACGATACAATTGTATATGTTTCTCAGTAAATTCTTAGGCCGCAAAAAAATTGTGAGATCAGAACATCTCCTTTCTCTGGTTAGCTTGGTTTATTTCCTTACCATCACCTACAGCATAAATCACTGTGATGACCCAATCAGTGATGGGCTCTTCACATGGCAATGGCAATAGGAAGGGGATGTGAAGTCGAGGTGTGGTAGCAGCGGTGGCGGCAGAGGGCGCAGGAAAGATTGGCTGAGTTCATTGAAGCGACTCAAGTCAAAATTCTGAGATTCCATGAGGCGCTTCTGCTTGGCGGCAAAGCGGCTTGCGAAGTAGCCCTTGAACGAGGGTTCCTTGTAGCTCCTGAGGAAGAAGGCGTAGCGGGCCATGAAGTAGACGGAGGTGAGATAGAAGCAAATTGGTTCCATCACATCCCACGACAGCTCCCAGAAAGTGACCCTCATCAAAGCAGCTGTGCCTGCCAACATGAATCCCAGCCCACACTGCAGCTCCTTCCTGACTTGATTTGCCGCTCTCTGATCGATCTCTGCTTTCGTCTCTTCCATCTTCCTCAATTCTTCTCTACATTGATCGTAGTGATGATGGCTCAATGACGATGGGATCATATTCTCAATTGCTTTGGCAACCTGCAGTTTATGAAGGGGCAGCCAAAAGAAATACAAAAGACTCACTCTTCATCTCAATTAACTAGTTTCCATGATGTTATGCAGAATCTATCATTCCAGTGGTCCAGAGATTAAAATAAATGTACATATGTTGAGAAAAGATTATGACGAGATGCCAAATGAAAAAACTAACAAATGTTCTCTAAATTCTATGCTTAACAAAATCTAACATGAAACTTGTATCATTCCAGTGTTCCATAGATCAGAACAAAATTATAATGAGAAAGGATGATGATGAGATTCCTAATTCGAACCAAGATTGCAGTATCAAATAACAAACTGATAAAAAGTGGTAAGTTCCGCGATTGAACAAATATCCCTATATGCAAATGGTTATCACACAAGTAAAATGGAGTTTCTATCCTTCTAGCGGTCCATAGATCATGATTTAAACAAGAAGGTTATGAAAAGAATGCTAATTCGAACAAACTGAAAAAAGTTAAGTTCAGAGTTTATGCTTTACACTGCCCTCTTGCCGCAAATGGTTATCAGTTACATAACATGAACTTTCTATCATTTCAGTGGCTCATAGATCACGGCAAAATCAAGATGAAAACAAATACAACAGGAGCCCTAATTTTGAACAAAAATTGAAGCTTAAAATAACAAGCTGATAAAAGTTATAAATTCTATGCTTAACCCCTTCCAAGAAGGTTAACAGTTAAGTAATATGAAGTTCTATTGGCGCACATATGATGTCCAATTGCACACGTCTGATAATATACATATGGTCCATAGATCACAATAAAATTATGATTTAAGTTCTAAGTTCTATCCTTAACAAATTCCCCTAACTGCAAAGCCTTATCAGTTTGAGGCTAATACCATTTTAGTGGTTCATAGACCACGATAGAGTTCACATAGAAAATGTATTATCAACAAGACTCCTAATTCCAACCAAGATTGCTGCTTCAAATAACAAACTAATAAAAGTTAAGTTCTAAATTGCAAACAAAAAAAACCTTACCACAAAAGGTTATCAGTTAAGAAACATGAAGTTTCTATCGCTGACATAGTCCATAAATAACAACAAAATCAAAATGAAAAGCAGTTATAAGAACCTTATTTTTAACCAAGATTGGAGCTTTAAATAACAAGCTGGATAAAAGTTTTAAATTCTATGCTTAAAAAAATTTCCTTGCTGCAAGGTTGTCATTTTTCATTAATTCTTTTGGCACACATCTAATGTACATTTTTATGTGTGTGTGTGTATAGAAACACACACACACACACTTGGATCCTCTACATCATATCCAATGTCGTATATCTAAAAAATAAGAATTTTAAAAAATAAAAGAAAAGAAAAGAGGTAAACTATATACTCCAATTCCATATTTAATAAAAATTCATTAAGGCCCCTCATTCCATAATTTTTTTGGAAAATGAAGAATGTGAATATCAAATTCTTTTGCCTTAAATCTCCCAAGCTATGCAACAATTATTTCATAAAATGCACCCATTCCTATTCAAATTAGAACTGATAGCTATACAGAACTGGAGAATAGAAAAATTATATGCACGAATAAGAAATCTTAACCAGTTCTTTTAAGATTAAGGGCTACTTTGTAACATGAAGTCGAATGCAAGATGTTAGGATGTCTGGTGTGTGTCAATGGTCGAATCATTATTTGTATGATGAAAATATGAAATTGTGCATAATTTTTTTCTTTTTCTTTCTTCCTGAAGGTTTTCTTTTTCTCTAGATCAAGAAGATTTTTTTGCTCCAATATATTTTTTTTCTTTTGTGCCGATCTAACTCCAGTATACCACAGGGATTCCCCCCCCAAAAAACCTTAATAAAACAGTCTGCAGCAGTTGTAATGCCACCAATCTCCTGTTTTTAACCCCTTCCTTTTTGTTCCTGCTGAAAGAGAGACATAGAAAACCCGGAGAAAAACTTGATCAGACCTCCATTCATTTCACAGAAAAAACCTCCGAACTCAGACAAATTCCATAAATGTAATAACACAACAAAAATAAAAAAAAGAAAATTAATTTAACGGAACAAAAAAGAAGGAATTAGTATAAGTTAATACCTCTTCGGGCCTCAGAAAGACGACGTTGCCAAGAACTATTACGATTCCCGACTTGTCGAGGGATCGCGCAATCTCCAATCCCTGCTCGCCATTCGAGGCCTCGCAGCAAATCCGGACGAAGTCCGTGTACGGGACACAGCTCTCGCCCGTCGCCACCAACCTCGCCCGCGCCGCAGCCACCTGTGACGCTCTCACCACCTTCCTCACCTCCTCCAACGACACACTCTTCTCCTCCTCCGCCTCCGACTCCCCCTCCGTCACCGCGATTGGCTTCGGCGGCGGCGGCAGCGGCGGGAGGAGCCCGTCGAGGCGGATCCTGTCCGGGCACAGGCAGCGTATCCGCTCCGCGATCCGGTCGCCCCCGAAGGGCATCGCGGAGCGGTCCGGCGGCAGTGCCGGCTGGAAGAAAGGCCGCTTCTGGAGGAAGGAGGATCGGCGGGGTGGCGAGGGGCGGCTGGCCGGAGCGGGCGCGGTGGACGGGCGGAGGAGAGAGGCGAATCGCCGGGCGAGGGTCTTGCGGAGGGCCGCCATTAGATCAAGGCAAGGGATCGGGAAACGTTCGAGTCCGAACCAACAAGGCTTCTTCTTCGAGTCGATCGGAACTAATGGGAAGGAGGCTTAAATAGACGGTCGATAAGGGATGACGATAAATTGGCGATACAAAGGAGGCCGCCAATCCGATTTAGAAAAGGAAACGATCACCTTTTTTATGGGGTTTCCCCCTTTTACTTCTTCCTTCTCGGCGATGGCGATGACACGATGTTGGAACCAACCGCCCACAAAATTGGATCGCATGTTGCTCGTTGCTTAATATTATGTGGCCATTAACGCCGTACATAACACAAATCAAACAAAATCACAATAATGTTCTCATTATTTTTTGACTGACCTCTTCACCTCATAACAAAGGCCCGATCGCAGTTCAGTTGTAATTTTCGCCACATATTCTTCTTGTGGGTCGTGCCTCAATCCGTGACTTACGTGGCGTCTCCGCCTCCTGGAATGACGACATGCACGGCTGGCCATTACCGCTGAAATATAAATATATATATATATATGGGTTTTTTTGAGAATATAAATGAACGTTTAATGATCAGCTAATGCCAACTGGCATAAGATCAATAGGAGTTGGCAATGAGCAGTCATCGGCGAGGGCGATGTTACCGTTGCTCCATTTGGAATTCGCTTTCTTAATTTGTCGATATTATTTTTGATGATATTTCGAGTTCTCGATAAATATATTTGCTACTTTAAATAAATCTTGGCACCTTTTGCCGACACCACCGAAAAATAATAATAATAATTCCTTCCAATAAAAAAGGGGGGGGGGGAGGGAGGGTTTGATCACCGACGCAATGAACGGCAATTAGTATTAGTAGTTAGTGATTGATTTGATTGGAGTGACGATTCGGGCTGCTTCTGCTTCGGACGACGCGGCGATGAGTCATATGTTCCCGTTTATACGCTTAATTATGTAGCACGTGATGACGACACGACACCACATGCTTATCTTGTTGGGTTATCGGCTCATAATTTTCTGGAGAGTGGGTTTGGTGTTTGCTGTGACGGTGCTGACTGGGTTGGGTGCCTACCGAAACATATCGATGGCAAATTAATGATAGGTGACAGAATTTTTCTCCAATTTATTTTTGTTTTGATGTTCTAAAAGATAAGAATGCTAATTTATTGGTTCTTATTGAGTTAGTCAATATGACATGATGGAGGTTTGGTGGTTTGATAAACATAAAGTCATAGAAATGACTCTAACAAATTTTAATATGAATAATATTTAAGACCGATGTGACTTACAAATCATTGTGAATTATTCATTGGGCAAATCTTATCGAATATATTGAGGATTTGACATGTGAACATTTGAATGTCAGTTTATTATTAACTCAATATCTATTAGAATAGTAATTAAATGACTCACAATCTTGCATTATTATATTTAGAGGAGACTATAATACTAAGCTCTCTTAACCTTTCGAATCTCTTATAATTTTACTATTTTCTAAATACTAATTTAAGAATTAAAGTGATTTTTATGAAACATATAATTTGACAAACTATTTATCATGCTCGGTTATCTATGGATACTAAGCCCATGATAGAAACAAATACGAATCTAAATCGATTTCATCACTCGAAATTTTGAACAATCAAAAATTATATTAAAGAGTTCGGATTTATCGAATTTGATCACCGCGATAACAAATTATGAAAAAAATATATAGATCACTTGGGTTCATGTTCTCTTGTTAGGATTGATCGAGGATACGATAAAGGTTAGCTCTTAAACCTAACGAATCTAAAATAAGGTGGAGCTCTCCACCATGAATATTCGTTTCATGGAAAGCATCAGTAGGTCACATCAGCCACCGCTCAACTTGGAAGAACAAAGACACCGGCGGGGAAAGCGGATGGAGTCAGACGCCATGGTGGTCGCATGTGCACGGTGGGAATCACCACTCCGTAGAACGAAGCTCGCCGGGTTGAGAATCCTTGCAACTTCCATGATCACTACGGATGACTTCTTATTCTCTCTCTCTTTCTCTCTCTCATCTTTCTGGTTTTGATCCAAATGATGAGTGGAGACCAGAAACATGAGAAAGAAAGGAGTTGGTGACTATTTTTTTGGCATTCATATGGGCATGTAATCCTCCTCCTCTCTTTGGTTTCTTGAATTGTTCTTGAGAGTTAGTGGGTTTTAATGGTGATTGGGAAAATTTGGGATCGACTATGTTGATTTGTTTTCTTTTCATCGATGTGATTCGTACGAATCGAAATATATTGTTCGATCAAAAGCATTATCCTCTTCTCTTTCTCGGATTCCATTTTACACCATCAACGTCTACTCAAAGCATCCCAAGGTCTCATCGCAGTACGATGATGTTATCTTAGATTCTTCTTTCTTTCTTATGTTATTCTTTGTTGAGATATATGACAAAAGAAATTGATGCATATTTGATGCTTGAATGTTTAAAATCTCATTTAATACATTTTTACACATAGAATATTAGTCTAAAAGAAATGTGTCTTATTCATATAAGTTTACTCATTAAATATTATAGATTTAAAATCTTATTTGATAATTTTATAAATATATTGATCAGTGATACTTCACCTAATCTCTTTACTATTAATTTAGATTCAAATATTAATATCATAGGAGAGGCTCTCTATTCTAGAAAGATGTCACCATGTATGTACTCTTTGCACTAAACAAAGTGAAAACAAAAGCAATACTTTTGACTTCTTTTCCACATCTTTGGTGTAATAAATGAAGGGAAAAGTTTTGGAGGAGGAGAACAGCTTAGTATGTTTGCTTTGTCTACTCACAGTACCTAAAAAGATGTACAAATTTGGAAACACAAGGAGGACATCATAATAAAGCACTTATGACATGTAAATGCACCAAACTATGCAGAGCTCATCTGTTGTGAAACTAAAAAAAAGAGACTAATCCCTATCATAAAGTACTTAATGATATCACTTTAGTACCTAAATTTTCCTTTGGCCAACTTATCCCATGCAAATGCACCAAACCCTGCTGAGCTCATGTGTTATGAAAGCTAACATCAGTGTCCCAACTATCTCAACCTAAAGGTTGTGACACGCATCCATCATTGCTCTTGCAACTATCTTAAATCAAATATATCTTTCTATGGTGGATAAGACAAGTGTTGATAGCTAAACATTAACACATTTTTTTTCTTTACAACTAAAGATATAATTTATCATCAGTTAATCGTCATCCGACATATAATTATTACCTGATATCTATAATAAAAGAAAAAGGCGGATGTCACCCTCTACTCGTTGATCCGCGTGAGTAAGGGTTAAAGATAGAGTCATGAATTATCCCTCCCTTTGCGATTAAGAAAAAAAATTTATTTTCAACACAACGAAGGAGGATCATCCAATCATTTCTACACTCATTTATCTCGGGTTATTAAGTTGGGAGTCAAAAAGATTAGGTTGAAAAACATTTTCTAACCTTAATCATTATACAAGTGATACTTCGGATAACCCTTTATATACGGATTTAGACCACGTCAATCTAATCATAATGTCAATGACTTATTTTTTCAAATATTTTAAATTAATAAAATAATATATAAAATGATAATAATAATAATAATAATTAATAATATTATTATTATATATAAAAATATGATTTACCATATTGTTCGTGGGAACAACAATAATTGATACTCACTTCTGCATTTTCTTATTATCATCATCCCACATCTTTTCTCTCAAGATTATGAAGCTCATGATGACCAGCGAGTGGGACCCATCTGACGTGTCGCGCTCGGTGGGTGACTTTAAACCGATTCTGGAGGGGCTCGGACAGGCGATCACGGAGAGAAGTGTTTACGTGCTTACCTGGCTAACTCGTTCACAGAGTTAACGGGCCAACTCGGTCCCGATTCTTCCAACCCAACTAGACCCGGTTCACGAATAATTCTTCTTATTGGACCATTTCATTAGGGATTTGGGGAAGAAACTGTTGGCTGGAGTTAACTGAAACACCAATTAAGAACCCAATTAAGAACCTGATATGATTACCCGATTCGATCGCTAACCACACCCGACACAATATTCTATATGGTGGTCTATCAGAAACCGTTCATTTCTTACTTCCTATCATCTCGATCGTTCATTTGATGTATTTACCAAGATCAGATGGACGGTTGAGATGATAGGAATGGAGGGATGAACGGTTGTGGAGCACTCTGGTCCTCCGAGTTCGCATTCGTGCGTTTCCTTTATCCATCCGTCCCCCAACCACGAATCCCCTTCACAGCTTTCCTATACGTATTTTGCTGCTCGCCACGCGGATCCGTCCACCGCACAAGCAGCAGCAGCCACTTCGCCTGTGGTTATGGCCGCCACCGTCATCCAGTCGTTCGCGGTACCCTGCCGTAGCCGTGCCGCGGCGCCGAGAGCCTCGGCCTCCTTTTCATCGCCTCTCGGCCGCCGTGCGTTGGGGCTTCTTCCGCAGTTCAGCGGCCTGAGGTGTGCTTCAGTCCCCCTAAAGGTCAAGTTGGCCGCGGTGGCGGCGAGATCGAGGGTCGTCAGGAGGGGAGCCGTGGTCTGTGAGGTTCAGGAGACGGCGGTCCAGCGTAATGTTTCTACCTCCTGTTACATTTCTCTTGTTTCTTGTACTGATTTTGTTGGTTCCTCGATGGATTTCTTCCTTAGGGCTTAAATTAACACGTGGTTAGATATGTATAGATCTACCGTGAGTTTGATCGAGTAAAACCGATATATGTCTATATGTACTTGGAGCCGATTGGGTTAAAAATATGGAAATTCTTCAAGGTATTGTACCTTGGGCAGCTAAATTGACATGCTTGGAACTTGCAAGTCAGATATGAGTTGGAATGTAATGTAATTATGTTGGTATGTCTGCCCTGCATGAGTGGCTTCTTGTTACTTTTTGCTTAATGGCATAGGATGAGTCTTTCGTTTCTTTTTGTCAGTAGTTTAATCATGTCTTGGCTTGCCCTTACGAATTGACTGGTTATGGAGGATGCAATGAGTTAAATAGGAGAGTTCGCATATGTATGGTTTATGAAGGTGAGGTTACATCAAGAAGGCTGTTTGCTGGTTCTTTTTGGAAAGTGTCTCCATGAATCATACCTGAGTTTAAGACTATGAACATTATTGGTGACAATTACAATAACTGGGATATTCAATATTTTTTTGAGATTCAAGAAACAAAGAATGAGAGAACTGAGAGAAAGGGAGAGGCCGTTGACATGCGAACTTAAGAGGCTCATTCATTTACTCAAACGTACACAACCATCTAGTCTGATATTCTTTGTATAATACTAACATCTGTTACCAATTTGCCTCCTGCAGTTGTTTCATTGAGGTCATGCTGTGTTGCATCAGTGCTGGCTAATTGTAAGCAATAGCACTTTGACTCCTTTGTCATTTAGAGAGTAGTAACATTTGGTTCTTCCAACATTAGGATTGGTGGGGTAAAGTAGAACATGTAATATTATTTGGAGACAAGTAACATTTGCTTTCAAATGGAATTTGGTAGGGGCAAGTGGATCATTTAGTACCATTTGGACCATGTGGACAATATAAGCATTAAGACTAGGAGAAGTTTAAGGAGAAATATCTTCTATGATGTTGAAATATATGTTTTACTGATACTGATATTCCACATTAATTAGCACATATGCTTCTATGTTGGCTGTTACTTCGGTCATTCATCTCAGTTTAATCTCGAATTGAAACATCTGAGAGATGGGGTGGTTTTCTGAGGAAAGCATTTCTTATATATTTAAGTGAGGTATTACAACCTACTAGACTTTGGATACTGCTTTAGTCCCAACTTAGGGCGACAACTATTTGGTTTTGTACCTCCAATTCCAGAGAAGATTGATGATGAATTGACTGAATAAAGCAGCAAAGTTTCAGTACTCTTTGTGGCAAATAAACCAGTAGGTATGGTTTTTAAAGCTTTTTAAGAAACCCTGTACGTAAATCCTATTCCATGTTCACTACTTGGAAGAGTTCAGAGTGTTGAGGTTATGTTAGATCTAGGTGATAAAGATGCACTTTGAGGCTCAACAGAAATTCGTAGCTATCTCGTAGACATACTTATATCATTATCTTACTAGTCTAGTTTTGAGCCACTGGTGAAAGAACCCTACAATTGAGATGTAAATATTACTCATTACTTACGAAAATAATTAAAAATATGTTTTGGCATATTGTTTAAAGTACAAAGTTTTATCAACTCTGAATGCAATAACACATGAAAAAGAAGATGAGAAGGTCACCAATGATAGAAAACATGATTAGCATAGTAAAATTGGAAAAGAAAGAAAGAAACCGAAGCTAAGAGGTAGAGTAACCTAAAAACTATAGTGACATGTTTCGTAGGTATTAGGCTTTTTGAAATAGTTCAGTCCACTCCTAACTTCTATGGTATGCCTCAGCAAATCTTATGATCTACAAGGTCAAATGAGGACTCAGAAAACTCAGCCTTAGTAACTGCAGTGCCTTAGGTACGTTTTCCAATATCTGCCTAATGTACATTATATTGTTTCGTATTTAATGAAATGACATGATAAGACTGTTAAAAGTATATTTCTCCCTCATTCCCATGTAAGGAACCCTATATCTCAAGGTTACACAACTTCTTGTGATGTTACTTCTATGTCTTGTTTTTTTGGGTCCATAAGCAAGAGATAAATGGGGTTTGTGTGGATGCTGGAGCAGCATCCGTTGACAGGAAAAAATTGTTTTTTTATTTGATATATCTTCAACATGGATGATTGAATATTATTACAAATGTGTGAGTTGGTGGATGGCATGGGGAACTCCCTGTTCATACAACTGCATCTTTTTTCCCCGCTGAAAGATACTGGCTTCATTTGTTGATGTTAATAATCGGACACACACAGTATTCCATCTGGTCTTCTTCTTCAACTGTTGTGTGTAGTGCTTGAAGTGTCTCTTTTGTGCAATGATGCTTTAAAAATATGTATGATCAATTTAACAGTCTACCTTGGAGGTTGATACTTCTATTGATTTTTAGCTTACAACTTTGGTGTGATAGGTTCCTTTTGTTCATAGTGACCAAATGATTCTTTGGCATCATACATCCCATATGCTTCTTTAGGTTTATGGAGTGGTTGACATCTTACATGAAGTGGCTAGTGGCATCATTGAAATGTGTTGGTTTGTTTTACTATTGGGAATATGGTATATGAGCTCCATCTTATATTTATCGAATTACTAGCACGCAGCACAATTTAAATTTTCAAAATGCTACATGCTTGTGAATGATGAATGTCCTAAAGAACATCATACACCCAAATTTGCCAAATTTGCTGAGTGGTTGATCTGAGGTTTAATTTTGAACTTGCCCCATTACCTAAAAGGTGTAGGCCTTTGTTTGATGAGGATATGGTATATGAGCTCCTCTCTATTTGTACCCAATACTAGCAAGTACCACAATCCAAAATTTCCAAATACTACATGCTTGTGAACAATGGATTTCTGAAAGAAAATTATACACCCAAATTTGCTGAGTATCTGAGTAATTGATCTGTGATTTAATTTTTGAATTTGCTCCTATTACCTTAAATCTGTAAGCTCTTGTTTGAATTCGAGAAGAACCACTTGCAATTTGACTCGATGCATTTACTTACCTCATCTAGACACTTGAATTGTTCATCTGTATATTCTGGTGACCTCCAAAGAAAGAGAGATCTATTTTTATGATGACGAATCTGCATAAAAAAGACTAATCATTTCTATAAATAACATGCTTTAGTTTCAGAATATTATGGTTTTACATGATCATAAATATAATGATTTGCCTCTCGTGCAAAAAAAAAAAAATTTGTGGACTGATGGCTATACCATTTTTCCCAGTTACTGCTTTTCATGTATCTCTAACCAAACATTATTTGGCTATTGTTCTACAGTTCCAGATGTGACTAAAGCCACATGGCAGTCCCTTGTATTGGACTCCAGTGTTCCAGTTCTCATTGACTTTTGGGCTCCGTGGTGCGGGCCATGTCGAATGATCGAACCAACCGTTGCCAAGTTGGCAAAGGTTTATGAAGGAAAACTGAAGTGCTATAAGCTGAACACTGATGAAAACCCAGATATAGCAACTCAATATGGGATTCGGAGCATCCCAACCATGATGATCTTCAAAAACGGCGAGAAGAAAGACACAGTGATTGGGGCTGTGCCTGAGAGTACTTTGGTCACATCCATTGAGAAGTTCGTTTAAAGTGTATTCTCTTCGAAGACTTCAAGAAATCCTTTTGGAGTGTCAGAAGGTTCCTCTTGAGAATCAAGATTACTTTTGCATTTAGCTCCTTATATGTATTGTGTATATATTAAGTTGTTCTCCTTTTAAGTTATTTAAGATTCATGATGTAAGAATAAGATGTATTTGTTGAAATCTAACTTCCATTATTGAGACTTGTTCCTCCAATCTGTAATGTGGTTGCAGCTTTCTCCCCTTCAAGTTGGTGTTTTGCCATTGGTCGATTCCCCTTCTTGCAAACTAAGTTGTATTCGCCAGGTATGAGAGTAGTATTGTACATTACTAGAACTTAGGTACATCTTATTGATAAGGTTACCGTTCCGCGTTCTACCAAGCATCAGTGATTTATATAGCCTGGCAGTACTGTACCATTTTTTATGTAGGGTAATGTTGGGAGAGATCACAAGTTCCGATAAATCATCATCCTAGAACACTATTCTTGCATGAGATTGGCGACGTAAATATTCTTTTAGATGATATAGAACTATCAATTTAAGTTTGACATTTTATAGAACATGTATATTGGTAGTTCCTATACATATTTTATGTCATCTAACCTAGCAAGGTTAGATCCTGTTTGCATAAGAAGATGAAGATAATAAAAGGGGAGAACGTCAATGTAACGTTCTGTCTAAAAGACGTCTAGACATCTTTCAACACTAAAAATTTACATAGAGAAGATACCATACATTGCAAGGTATATGATGAAGTACATGATTCGCCTTATTGATCCATAATCGTGTCGATCGACTGTCGATACGATAGAATCATATCGATATACTAACATATGATACAATAAGGTATAATGATATTAGTATGTATCACCCATACCAATCTATTATTAGATGAGTATATACCATCCATATCGAATGGTATATATTATATATTGTAATAAGTTGCTTGAGCACAAAAACTAGTCTGACAACAATAACGCACTGAATAGTATGCAGTGCTTAAGATGGTATCACATACATGCGCACAGTAATCATTACCAACAAAGAGAAACTCTTTGGCAACTATGCCATTCACAACAAGACAACACTCTTTGGCCACTACCATTAATATTTTTCTACATGCCCAACTATATTTGGAAGCCAAGTGTACATATTTGTACAACTGATAAAGGAGATTTACAACACAACTCTGGTCATCCATAGCCTATGTAGAAATCCAGCAAGGTCACCATGGAAGCATCTTAGTCTTGTGAGATTTAAGAAGGGGTTCCTACTGATCAGCTCGGAAGAAATGCAGCAACTTTAGAGGCATAACTTTTTCCTGCCGCAAATAAAATTGGAATATAGATTAACCTAAAGAGAGCTTAATCTCAAAGAGCACAAACCAGAGAGATGGAGTGCTAACCTGAGATTTTTCAACACAACCAGAAGGGAAATGAAGTCCAGTGGAGCATTTCTCAAGAATTTCAGGATTTTTCATCCATGCCTTGTTTGCCTCAATGGCTTTCAGCTTATAAAGAAACATCTGGAGAAATGGTATGCACAATAAATAGCCGAAAGGATGATGGTCAAATATCTAAGGCGAATAACAAACAGAACTATGATACAAGCATAAGTTCAAAGACTTGTGAGGGAAAGATAGCCGTTTGGAACCTCAGAGAGTGGAATGGTAGGTTTCTCCAATTCTTCTCCTTTAATGGCCACACCAGTGCCCTGGCACTCCAGGCAAAAGATGGAAGAAATTCGATTCTTGAGCGTTGATCTTCCCTTGCGACCTCGAGTTACTTTTGTTTTGTTTCTTTGATCAGCCATTTCTGACTCACATAGAAGGATCCAATGTATGAGGCATGATGCATGAAATGGATGAAAAGCCTGCATGACATACTGCAGTCATTAGGGGAAAAAAAAAGAATTACAGACAAACAACAACGCATATAGCATAGGCAGTACTCACCCCGTTAGTGTTCCGACTGCTGCAAGCTAAATTACCAGTACGACAATTTAGTAGGGTAGCCACATCCTTTCCAGGGAGCATCGGCTGCCCACATATATCACAGATTCTCTCTGCAGCCAAACGTTTCTGTTTTCTCAGCTGTCGCCTAACAACCTTGCTAGATACAAGTCTCTTTTCAAGCTGCTGTGGGTCATCTGCCACAACGATATCCAGACTTGAGCCATCTCCAGAAAGAGACTCAGAACAACCATTCGAACCATCTGAGTAGTCTTCTTGGTCTGAGAATGATTTCCTCTTCCTCTTCCTATGATGCCCAGAATCATCAATCTCAAAGAAAGAACCAGGTGATGTCGGAGTCTCTTCATCTTCCACAGCTCCCTTCCTACCTAAGCCATATGCATAAGGAAAATTAACTATGGCAAAATCACAATTTGCCGATATGTTCAACTCATCACTAAAGTCAGATTCTCCTTGTCCCAACCAAGCACACCATATACTCGTGATCTTACCATGACCTTCCTTGTCTTGTATTCTGTATGCAATCTGCCCAACTCCTAAATGTTTCAGTGCCAAATTTGAAACTTCCCCCTTCAGTAAGACCCCAGGAATAATCAAACTATTTTCTGCCCAGCTGCAAGTAGAAACCATATCTAGGACTGAACAGCTAGATCTCAAAGATTCTTTATGCCCATTGGAAGATAATCTAAGTTTAGCGTCAGAAGAACCACTGGATTTAGAACAATTAATACTATTCTTTCTACCACAGCAATTCCTACTGGGAGAATCCAATGTATTCCTCGAAGTTACTTCATGATCGTTCCCAGAGCTGTTGCTAAGAACCAAAGCCATATCATTTTGACTATCTGAACCTGATAACAGCAGGTTAGGCTCGTTAGAACTGTCAAAGAAAAGAACACCATCATTGAAAGGCCATGGAGTAGCACCGAAAAGAGTCGCTTTGGCAGCTGTGAGGCGTCGAGCATGGAGATTTCCTTGGAGATGATCAAACAGCACGGTGTCGCTGTAACATGGGGTGAGGCAGAGGGTGCAGAAGAAGATTATGCGCTTCCCAACATGTCTCAGCTCCACATATATATGCCCCTTCTGCCGTACCTCCCTTAGAGTAGTTCTTGCCGCCACTTCTCTCAGGTTCACTGCGGCTTCCTTCCTGATTACCAATTGTCTTCCCAACATCTCCAACTCCTTCAAACTAGAAGACCAGTCCGCTTCCTTAGCAACGAATATACCGAAACTTAGGGTTCGGAACTTCAGGGAAACGCTAGGTCTAGACTTGCGCTTCAGGTCCAATCGAACATATCCAGAGAAAGCAACAAAACGCAGGTATTCGAACATTTCCTGCCATTTCTTCAAAAGAAACCCCTAGAATTCGTTCAACGACTCCAAAATCCGCTCGGAGCGGAGGCCAGCAAATCAATCGAAGACCAAATTTTGGGGCAAACCCTACGGAACACAATCGGGAACCTAAAAGCCCTTAATTTTGAAAGACACAGCGCGGATGGCTATTACATACACTGGGATCCCGTCGAGCTCGCCGTTTCTTTGCTAGAACAATTCCTAAGGCGCGGAAGAAAGCGAAGAACTCACCGGACTCCGCCATCTCCATTCGAATCTCCAAAAGATTTCTTCGGGAAAAGACACAGGAGAGCTGAAACCAAACCTTGGAAGTGCTCGAATACTCTCGGCGCTCTGGGGCGAAGCAAGAAGAATCCACAAGAGAAGAAAAGGAGTTGGAGCTTCGGGCTTCGAGGAGATGCCGCAACGATTCCTCTTCTCTGTCGGTAAGGCACGCAGGCAACCACCAATTCCAACCAGATGAGTCACGACTCTATCTTTGAACAGAAAATAGAATTATATTTCATCTCCGCGCCACCTACCCGTTTCGGTTATCTGCCTTACTATTGGAGCGAGATGGATCCATCACTGGGTCCCGTGTAACTCTCCTTCCTTGGAAACGTGGGTAACGTGTCATTGAGCGGTGGAATTACTGCCCATACGCAATGCGTTGCGTGTTCCACTCGATGGTTTTAAATGTCAGAGCGAAGAGGCAGAAGCAGAAAAGTGTGAGTACGTGGCTTGCTCTGGTTGGTGGTTGTCCTAACCATCACGGTTCCGGAGGGGCATTTAACACAGCAAGCACCTTCTCGTGTTATAATGCCGGTAATGATTAGCATAAGACGTCACAGATGGATGAGAGGTTCCATCTTTCATCCAAGAAGTCAAGTCAAAGGCTCGGGTTCCTCGCAGTGTGAAGTCTGCCATCAAATTGTCCCACCACCGGAGCCGATGGCCCCTTTGTTCAAAGATCCACCATGTGCGAATGAGCAGCACAGTCGACAGACAAGAATGTAAAAGCCTGTGATTCCCACTTGTGAAAGTAAGCCACAGCCTCAAGAGTCAACTGATTGTAAGGTACTGAAACATCACCTTTGAGAGGACTTTTAGGATCCCATTCATATCTTAAAGATGGGGTCCTTACAAGCACACACAGACATCAAACAAGTTAAGGCGCTCTCTCTCCCCTTCGGAGAGGGCTACTATGACATGTACACAGAGACGATAAGAGATCTTGCAGTAAGACCACTGAGCTCGTGTTCTCTTCGATCAAAGGAAGTTAAGTCGAGAGGTGTAGGTGACATCGGGAGACCAGTTACTTGGAATCACATCCCGGGCAGAGAAGGTCTTTTGGGTGGTTAATGTGGTAAGCTTCACCGAGAAGGGCCCCTGCAGAGGCCCCCCATTGAAACACCAATTGCCTCCCCATATGTGCTTCATCTCGAGCCATTCCACAGAATTTGCCTGCAAGAGAGAATACACAGGATTAAGACCAACAATGTAGACTTTCTTCAATCTAGACCCCTTCACTTTTGTCCATGGATGCACTTGAACTTACTAGGCATAGTCTCATAGATCACATTGAGTTCTGAGTCAACACAGAGGATGGAAAGAGAATAGGAGGATGGAGAACAAAAGAAGCTTTAGTTGATATTAGAACTTGGCTTGAGTGCATTCCACATCAAAAGCAGCAACAGGACTTCCTTTAAGTTTGACTCTGACTTCTGGGACTCGTTTTAGGCTCTGATGACTTGTAATCAAGTAATGTAAGTCCACATGACACACTTTTTAATACAAGAGAGTCCTACTTGCAGATGGGAAAACACCATATCTAATAGTTGCTGAAAAATTTGCCTAGTGAGAGGAAAGGTCACAGTTACCATTTTGTTTGAAGAGAATTGGCAGACTGACTTGTGGCAGACAGCAACCAGACACTGGGACAGGTCTTAAGGCATTACTGTTCATCCATTAAGGAGGCTAAGTGTGCAGTCGACTGAAGAAAAGCACGACATTCTAAAGCAATGCTGAGCTTTCATCCAAGTATTTTAGCCACAGACAGCTTGTAGATGATATAACAAATCTGCCAGTTCTTGGAGAAGCAGCTTCAAACAACTACAGGATGGATAGATAGCAACAATACATAGCAGTAAGGTAAGAAACTGTACTTGTTTTATATGCATGGCTCCAATATCTCCATCATCATCCTCAAACTCCACGAGAAGCGAAATCCAGTAGTTTGTGGATCCTTCGTTTACATGAAAGGCAATGTTCTTCCCTGGATACTTGCACGGTGTCCTGGAGAGAGAGAAAGAGAGAGAGAAGAATATACTCAGGCAGAGCGTATATGAAGTCTATACTGCAAACCAAGCGCTGAGTAGAGTAAGACATTCTGGTGAATACCTGCGGAACACGACGGAGATCTCGCCGCGATCACGAATCTGGCCGGCCTCGCCGGCAACGGCCATGCGGCCGAAGGCGGCGCCACTGAGGTCGAAGTGGGTTCGGCCGGACGCACAGTACCCGCCGGGGCACTCGTCGGTGACGATGACGGTGACGGCGCGGCGGGAGCAGATGGCCGGGTCGAGGCAGCGAACCTTGTAGCAGGCGCCGCACCCCTGCCCGCCCTTGAACAGCACGGGGCTCACCGCCCCCACCCGTGCCCGCAGCGGCCGGACATCCACCAGCGACCCGTACCCGCACGCCCCACCTGCCAACAGCGAGTCACAACCCAGTGTTACTCCCCCACATCACAAAGAAAACCTCTGCTCGCTGCTTTGTTTCAGACCATGTTGCATGCCTTTTCAGTAGCAATTCCCTATAATATATTGGATCGACCTCAATTGGCTGATTGATATGCTCTGCTCTCTTTCGGCTTTTCCTCGTCTGTGCACTTTTCTAGTGTCTGCCACTCCCACAAATCTGAAGTATTTTCCTCTTCGATAAAAGCAGATCAAAATGGCCGTGGGATCGTATTATACTTCTCTTTTCACCCTCAATTTGACTACCAAATGCAGTGAGATGCGTGCATATATCAAGTTGGACGAACCGTCCAAACCCGAAGGAGAGTGACCGAGCTGACTCCACATGCGTCGCTCCACCTTCACTGGCCACACCTCACCCGACACGCATCAAGCGACGGCGAGAAAGCCGCAGACTCCTGCAGGTCTCGCCATGCTCCCAGCCATTTGACGGTAGAGACGTCGACGACCACACACCGATGCCAACACCCAGCCATTTGACCTTAATCTAACGGCTGACATGCATGCAACAAAAACACTAGATTCCCTAGCCGGTAACCATGGATACAGGTTGGTGAACTTACCGTCGCTGCCGTCGCCGTCGGGGCTGCCATACCAGGTCGCGGTCGCCGGGTGCCAATGCGGGTCGAAGACGGGGTGTGAGTCACCGTAGTCGAACCAGAAGACAAAGAACGAAAAGAAGAAGAGGATAAGAAGAACGCAGGAGGAGAAAGGAGAGAAGAAGCTAGAAGCCATTGTTCTACTCTCAGTGCAGTGTGGGGCTCGTTTATATAGACCAGGGGAGCTCGTTTGCTCTTTCCTTATAATAATACTTGCTCTCCCTAACCACTGATGCCAGTCCAAACCTAGCTTCCTATACAGGGGAGCGTACAAGCTTTGGAAGTCACACTGCAGAAAGGGAGTAATTTTATGAACAGCTCCGTTTGGGGTTAATTACTTACTGCCTCGTCGAGAACAGGGTCAGATACGTGCATTCCTTCCCCTCTTTCCCAGCATGACACCTTTGTTACACCTCTTCGTCATGGTTCTAATCTTAAAGAAGGCAGAAGGATTCAGGAACGCATGTTAGTTGAAGGGTCAATTCCCATCAAGCTTTATTGAATGTGAGCTTACCGAATTAAAGGTCATGTGACGGCTATGTCTGCTTTCCAACCGTTATTTAGGGCTCGACTAATTGCGGGTCTCACGGAGGAATTAGGCGCCGCGTGTCTCGTCGGGGGCATGATGGTAATTGCGGTATCGGGTGCTCCGACGACAAAGTACTACGAGAATAGCCTGAAGTTGGGGGATAGTTTCTGAAATGCCACCGGCGCCTCGTGATTCGGGAAGATTGGTCAGGATTTACCGCAAACAACGCAATTAAAAGGCGAAGGCTGATACCGAGTCGCGTTCGTCGCCGGTGGAGTTAGGCACACGGGAGTCAGCGTTTGCGTCTGTTTGGGAACAGCGTGAGCCAAATCTCTCCGTTCCATGGATAATGGCTGTTAAAACCGTCCGACGTCCACACTCAACTCCTGCCATATCAGAGTTAGGAGAAAAGTAACCATCAGATTGAAGGGTGAAATCATGAAATTGATTTCATCTAAGTTCAGAGTTAAGTTCAAATTGTATAGTGCCAAAATTACAAATATAACACTTTTATTGTTAGGTGACAACGATAGCAGACCAAGTTTTCTTGAATTTCCACGTTTATTCGAGTTGTTTAAATCAATTTAGATTATTTTAATTGGATTTGAGATGACTTTAAATACAGAATTATGTAATCATTAATAAATACAAATATTAAGACAAGAAATCTGTCTTTTGTTTTCTCCCAACGACCCTATGTTAGTGGGCTGAACCGGCCCACTAACTGATCTCCTTTCTTCCCGTAGTGTGCGCTTGTCCCGTGCCAAACCGTTACTTAGGTTTCTCCGAGTCCAAGACTCCTCTCTCTCTCTCCCGCTGTCCCTTAATCTAGCGGCGATCGGCAAGCAACTCCAGATTATGCATTTCCCTTTATCGATTCCACGCTCGGTCTTCTCGTTCCCTTCTTTTCCGGTTCTTGGTGAGTCTTCTTGGACTTCTGTTTGCATGAGAATTTTGATGCCGCGATCTTGTCCTTACTCGAAGGACACTTTCATGGCTTGATCTCCGTTATTGCATTAGACTTGGCAACGAATAGAAATTCAAAGTAGGTTTTCCTGCTCCGTGGTGACTACATGTGGTGATATGAGCCTCAATCTTGAGTGTTCAGATTGAGACCTTGTGGAGAAACTAGGTATCGCGACTGCATATTTCGATCGTGTAATACGAGGTTAGTGTTTGGCATTGACAAATTGGGCCTTTTGTAATTGAGATGCTATGATTTGACGGGGGTCCGTTGTTACATTCGGTTGGGCTTAATCGCCTCAGCATTGGCCTTAGTTGTTGTTTGGCAGTACAACAACATTTGCCGTAGCTGTTATCCTTTCTATGTTATATCTCTGATTTTGTCACACTTGGTCATCAAATCATATGTTTCAGGTGGCATGATTAATGAGTTTTAGTCAGAGAGTTTTCTGCATGATTCGTGGTGACTTTTGTTTGTTTTACTAGCTTGTGATGCTGATTCTGATGTTGCGTTTTGCATGCTAATGTTGCTCATTATTTTAATTTTTCTTAGGCAATTCTTTTAACCTGTCCTGGTTTCTAGAGGTATTGGCACTCGAGAGTTCCTGTAAATCGAGTGCAAGATATGTATCCAGTTATGCAGTTTCACACGGATTCCCAATGATGAGCCAAATAATGGATAAGTGTAGACGCTTAGACACTATACTCTTTTAGTAGAAGGAAAAATATAGTGCCATATAAAGATATCACACATACGGCTTATTATAAGTAATATCAAACTGGGTATTTATATCTAGCATGAGGTTACTTTTCATATGACTACCTCAAGTCAGAGTCATAAAACAGCATCCTTAATGCCTTATGTGTAACTTGCCTTAGCATAGGACATAGAAATTTAAGGTTAATTCATGATTTAACAATTAGAAATCAAGTTTTTATTCTGATTGTGCCTGGCAATGATTTTCTCGTGAAGAAATATTGATATCGTCATTGAGCTGAAGAATTAAATTACTTGCTTGAAATGACTTGTTTATGTTGGGTTTATAAGGTGAGTGATTATTTTTTCTTGGAGATAATATATCTATTGACAAGTCAAGAATGTTTGGCATATAGGTTGTGGACGATTAAGGATGACAATAGGAGAATAATTTGTGTTGATGTTAGAATATTATTGTGGTTATATGGACCGGCGATTATACAATGGTTAAGGGTATCAGTGGCCATTGACCAACTAACACCTCCACATAAGATGCCACAGCACAATTAACATACTACATGACGAAGCCAAAGCATATCCAAATTTGTATGATGTTGCCTAATGCGTTTATACACAAATAAGACATTTTTCTAGATCTTGCTGGAATAAATTACTTAATTATATTTTATGAAGAGTCTTTGTAATATTTTATAACTCAAAGGATATCAAATATTCTGAGTAGCATATGGTTTATTGAGTATTGCAATAACTGGAGTTACCTTCCGCAGTTTTTCTCAAGCACAATTCTGATTGACAGGTGAGATGACATACTCCACTTTTCTAAAACTAGTGTTTGCCACGGCTGTCTGGTGCATTGCCTATGCTGTAGTTGCAGTTCTAATGTCTGTTTGATTCTTCAATTCTGATTATTCCTTCTCCTTAAACTAGTAAATTTCAGGCATATATAATGGTTTTTCACAATTATTATGAAGGTGGCACCTGCAAAAAGGTTATTACTTGGTATTTTATTATTTGGCATTGTTGCAAATGCTCATTAAGTGCTTACAATTAAAGAATATTATAATGATATCCAGGAATAATATTTGATGGTATCACATTTTATTTTATCTACTTCGTGGTAAATCTTGTTGGTAATAGATGAGCATTCAAAGAACATTGCACCCATAACGTACATTTTGTTTCAATAGTATTTGTGGCTGCAGTGAGTTTAAAATTTCACTCATTATTACTTTTTGACCATATATCATACCCATTATTCATGAAATGCATGACATACTTCATCTGTTGAAGTGAAACTTGACATAGCTCAAATTGTACATGGTAACTTGGAATATGTTTAAATGTAAAAAAATTGCTCCCATTAGAATATGAATATATACCAACCTGATAGAACAAAAACCCCATGTGAACAAGGGGCTTTCAAACCATAAGTTTGTCATATACTAACTTTTTTTATGATCAATATACTATAAAAGGGAAATCCTAGTGCATAAGGATCCCACCAATTCGGGATCTAGGATCAATGCATATGGTCTGTCTTATGCAAGTTTGGAAGTTGTTTCCGTCACTGAACCTGTTCATCCATGTTGCCAAGAAGCATCCTTAGTTTGGCTCCAAGATGCACCCTCAGTGATCGATTTCTATGATAAGCATATATTAGTTAATTTTAAAGTTGGTATTGTAACCTTTTGCTCTTTGCTAATAAAGGACATACGGGTGGATGTTATTACCATCACACTGTTGTTTGTACTAATCTAAATGATATGCTAAAGATATTAGTGTGTATATTTGACTATTACCTACTTTGCTTATTCCGTTTCCTTTGATCACGACAAAATTCTGAGCAATGCATAAAGAAAGACTCGTGATCTTTTTGAGTTTATTGTTTGTCCATAGATCAATAACTTGTAATCTGGCCAACAGGTATTAATGTCAGTGAATATATCAGCACAAGTTAAACTTCTGGATTGAAGATTGGTTGAAGTTGGAGTTAAGCCTTTGAAAGGGAAACACTTTATCCTGGTATTGCTTGATTGTTGAAATAATAGTCTCATTGATTTGAGATCCTTTTTTATCTCTCTGTAATATGTGCATCTAACATTTAAAACTTGATGATTATGGCCTCTTTAGGAGTTAGTGTAAATCCATATTCTATCGTTCTTATAAATTTTAAAATGTAATAAAAGTTATAAAGCTGATGCTTGTACATATCTCCAAAACATGCACAAATAGAAGGATATGATGTAAATAAGCCATTAAATTATTTTTATTGGTTCAATGAACTTTTGGATTCTTTTCTGGATATTGGTTTCAATGCTTAATTTTTGTGTGATTTATTTTAGGCTTCTACTTCTTGTTTTTTATTTGAAGGATCCAGGCTCCTGATTCAGATAAATAAACTTTACATCGGATCATTTTTCTTTAGAAGTAGTTCCACCTAAAGAATCGTCTCCCATTGATACATTGTTGTTTTTGGTATCAAGAAATAATTTACAAAGTATAGATGTCTTTCATAAGTATCTTGTATTCTGTGGGCCTTGAATATGTTAAATCAGCCTCTAAACAGGTGTTCTATGGATGTCTTTTGTAAGTCATATAATCCATCTGTAAGTCATATATATAATCCAGGTGTTCTTGATTGAGACACTGCTCCAACATATTATTTTCATGATCACAATTGCATTGCTATAGTTGAAATTATGAATCATTGTGAAAGTTGTTCTGATTTGAATATATTATTGTTTAGATTAACTTAATTAACCAATAAAAAAAATTTCCATTATTTTCAGGCCTCTACCGAAGCCTTCCCCTCGCTTTGCCTTTTCACAAGGATCGGTTAGTCGTATCCAGCGCGTCGCGCTGCTGTTGGTTCGTCGCGCCATGATGGCCGTGACAAGCTTCAGTTGTGCCGTCCAGCGCAGAGGTGACTAGACTCCCTGCGCACACCGACCATGGGACGCCACATACCTTCGTTGCCAATGACTCGAGGAGTAAGCACTAAAATCTTGTTCCAGTAAGTTCCAAAGACTGTGGTGGACGGCCCGCACGTCGCGATCAGCTTGCCCCGCCAAACGGACGGCTCCGATGGCTCCTCGCCCCGTCCTTTACGATTTTTTCTTAAAAATGACCGGGTGGAAATCTTCGTCATCGTTCGCTCTCTCACACTCACTTTCTCTGCCCTCTTTTTCTTTTCTTTCCTCTTACTGATTTCGGTGGAAAGAACGGAGGAGCGAAAAAAGGCGGAGGTCGGTAAAAGGGGCGATTCTTTCTCCGTTTCCTCCTCCTTCCACTCTCTTCAATGCCTTCCTTGTGCGTATTTTATATCAGTTCTCTGACTCGAATTCGTGTGAGATTGTTTCTTCTAGTTTGTTCCTTGATCGCCCTTCTTTGAGGATTTTTCTCTTTGATTCGGATCCGATTAGTGTCGATTTGCTTCGATCTGGTGTTGTTCTGCTTGAGTTCTCGAGGGTTATCACGTTTGGGTTGGGGAATTAAGGGTTGGTTTGCGGCTGTTGGTGTCTACCGAAACTTCTGATGCTTCTTTTCCTTGCTTTATCGCCACGATCTGCGAACGTCAATTTCGCTTGCTTGATTTCGTATATGCTCCTTCCGTCGGACGTTTTCTTAATCTTTTACTCCTTGTTTCGTTACTCGCAATTATTGGTCCCGAAAACCGTATTTTTCTGCTTGGAATCGGTTCTAGATGATTTTGTCTTGTAGCATCCAATAAGCGCGTGAAGGAAGGTATCTTTGGTAAGAATTGGCGATTCATAATCAGTGCTGGATATCTTGTTGTAATACAATTCGAAGAGAGGTTAGGGTTCTGTTTTGGGTTCAGGGGATCAAGAAAGAGAGGTATTTTCAATGGCCGACCGCAGTCGTGCCTTCTGTATCGAAGAGCTGCCTGCGCATTTAATTCTGGAGATATTGAGCTGTGGGCGTCTAGGTGCTGTCGACCTTGCGAGCTTGGAGACAACTTGTCGAATGTTTAGTGGTGCTCATGGGCTTCTTCCCAACAAATTCCGGTCCATGGTTGAGTTTGCTGCATTCCACATTTGTATGACACACACTATATTTGGTTCTCTCCCACAGAGTGCACGTACAGACCTTCTTGGTCGCTGTCATGGGAATTGGAAGAAGGTTCTGAGGTTCTTGCAGTCTGTGGAGCAGTCTTCCTGCAGTGTCGAGACATCAGCAGGCAACGTATGACTTCTGTTGATACATAAATTCATCTTGTCTCATAAATTGCTGTTGCTATTATGTGATCAAATTATATACTTGACTAGGATTAGTATACATGTTGAACCACTTGTAAGGCAAATAAGACTGTTGAATTTTTGAAGTGCTGTTGCTAAGTTGTTATACTCTTGAAGACTAGTAAATTGGGCTATGCCAACTTTAATAGAACTCTCGATAATTCATTGACATTTTGTCTTCCATTTGGCATCATAATGCTTGTAGAGACTAAGTCACTCCTTTTTATCCTATATAAACATATTTAGCCTTTGAATTAATTGGTTAACTGTGTTAGCTATATTGGTATTTGCCCATTTTCCCATTGAGATCAACCATAACTTAACTGGATCAGTGTTGATTTCAGTGGACTTCTGTGATCGAAGTGGTCCTGACACCTACCAGTCAATCAGGCTATTTCCAAATTGTTCCAGTTGATTTAGCTGATTCACCAATCTTACGATCTCAGTCAATTTTTTGATAATTTCAAAGGGCTTAACCTGCAAGCTAATTGATCTTTATGGATGATTTGAACTGTTGGTAAAAATCTTGGGCCGATTCTGGCTGACATCTTGTCGAACTAATATGGTATCGGTATAGCTGGTGTTATACTGACTTGCACCAGTAAGAGGTGAATTATTCTTCAGCTCTGATGTTTGTGCATTGGCCTTTGTGTGGGCCATGAGTGCCCAAACCTCGAGCTTGATATTAGAAATCCAAGTTATGACCTTTGTGATGATTTCTTTGTCATAAGACTTGCAGTATTTTAACTTCAATGCTTTCCATATACGAGACTTGCACCATTTTATCTCCAATGTTTTTCATGTATAAGAGGGTTCTTTCTGAGAGAAAGTTTGCTATATATGTTATAGATTGTTAGTTTTGTGCCTTCTGAATAAGCACATCAGATCTGCATCACCTTTTCGTTCAAATGCATTTTCAATATGCAGATGCAGGTAACCACAGGAAGATATCACACACTCTTGATTCATGACTCGTCTGTGTACTCTTGTGGATCCAGTTTGTGTGGGGTACTTGGTCATGGTCAAGATACAACTCAATGTGCTGCATTCAGCCGCATTAATTTTCCATCTGTTTCTCATGTCATCCATATCTCAGCTTCTCACAACCATGCAGCATTTGTAACGCAAACTGGAGAGGTAGTCACTCCATGCAATTGATGAACTTACAATAATTATTATTTATGTTTTACTTTATGACCAGACTTTGTTGTTTCTTTTTTAGGTGTTCACTTGTGGTGATAATTCATCATTTTGTTGTGGTCATGGAGAAGTGGGCCGCACCATATTTAGGCCTACTCGCATTGAGGCGCTGAAGGGGATACCCTGCAAGCAGGTACATTTCCACTCACCATCATAAAAGTGTCCAAATGTATTGCTATAGATGGGGACATGGTAGTCCACACCTCCCATTTCCAATACTGAAAGATATCTTGTGTTGTGGTCAAATAAGAAGTTCTCTTGCTCTATTTTGTAAGCCACTAAGATAGTTATAACCTGTAGTTTACCAGAATATGATGAGGAAAACCTAGTATATGAACAATAATAGTTTGTAGGTTACTGAGGTGAGATAATACTGGGAACTCAGTATTTATTTGACATTATGAAATTACATTTTTGTCATATGTTTACTTTTGTGACTTGCTGAGAAATGGATCCTAATGCTGTTGGTCAATAAGGAAATGAATTGTTATCTTGGAATGGATATATCCTGTGTGCATCATGACAATTTGACTAATGAAGAACAAAGGACATTCTCCAAAATGATCAATTTGGGATGTGCTTTGACCGTTTTTAGCATAGGAATGTGTTGTAGGCTTTAGAGTACCTGCAAAGTCTTTTAAGGATTGGGATTAATGAATGTTCAACTTCATGCAGATTATAGAAATGGATTTAATTGTAAAATAAAATGAAAATAGAAATAGGAAAAAGAGAAGATAGGAGCTTAGACAGATTGTTTAATTCAGCATATTAAATAGTAGCAATAACAGATATGGAACCTTATAGCCAGTTGTTGACAATTGATTGAGAAACAAAAACAAAAAAGGAGGTAAAAACTGCCTATTGGGTGGCAGCTATTGATGTAAGCATAATTCCATTTTTACAGTACTGCAACTCAAAGGTAAGTTGAGTAAAATCTTTGGTTGATTAAGTGCCTTGATGCCAAAGACTTACTTTTAGTTTTCAATTACACTGTTGGGAAATTCTGATAAAAGTTTGGGATTACAAGTTCTTAATTGGCGTATTTTTATTGAGAATTTCTGCTGCCATTGTTTTAAATCCAAGTCCAAGTTGTCACTATATGTATGTGTGTGTGTGTGTGTGTGTGTTTATGCCTGCATATGAGTTCTTGTGAGGAATTTGCTTCCTATTGAATTTTAGTGTGTCATTTGCTCTGTAACCAGGAGTGTTCCCAAATATTTTATTGGATGTTTAAAAGAATAGCTAATTGTGTGATCAAATGGACTATTCTTTTATGAAATTGTTCATTAATTTGTTTTTTCAGGTTGCCACTGGGTTGAGTTTTACAGTGATTCTTACAATGCAAGGCCAAATTTACACATGTGGGAGCAACACACATGGCCAACTTGGTCATGGTGATACTGTTGACAGGCCAACTCCTAGGAATATTGAATATTTTGAGGGGCTGGGACATGTAGTGCAGATATCTGCTGGTGCAAGTTATACTTTTGCTGTCACTTATGATGGAAGAATTCATTCATTTGGTTCCTGTAACAACTTTTGCCTTGGCCATGGGGATCAACATGATGAACTTGTTCCACGTGTCATCCAGTCATTTAGGAGGAGGAATATTCATATACTACGCGTGTCTGCTGGAGATGAGCATGCAGTGGCACTTGATTCAAGTGGATATGTATGTCTCATTTCTAAATTTTGATAATTGTTGGATTGTAATTCGATGGTGCAGGTTCCTCACAACTTCCATTGATCCCTGAGAATGTTTTTTTCGTAAAAAAAATTATTTTTACAGGTATATACATGGGGTAGAGGCTACTGCGGCGCCCTAGGCCATGGGGATGAGAATGATAAGACCAGTCCAGAACTGTTGGCCACTCTGAAGGGTCACCTCGCTGTGCAGGTTCTATATATTTGCTTCTTTCCATTCCAGCTATGTTGTAGCAATAGATATCCAAACCTATATGCAAGGAATACTGAGGAGAATATGTTGTTGTCTCAATTGTCAATGTTCGTATACTCAGTAGTAGTTAGAAAGGAACCAATGAAATAGTTGAAAATTTAATAGTATATATCAATTGTCATGCCCAATATCCTAATAATTGAGCCTTCAAAGCAAACAGTCACTTGATTGTGTCTCAAGGTAAAGTCATCCTGCCAATGACTTAATGTTTCTGATTACATTTTTTATTTTTGATTTTGTAGCATTTATACTTATTAAATTCTGACTCACAGTTTAGAATAAATTTGAAGACTATGCCATGATTTAGCTATTAAAACTGAGATTAATAAAATGTCATGTTTATGGCATACAATTGGTTATTGAACCACCAAATCGCTACTCTGATTTCACAAATTGATTTGGATTTACATTCAGTGAGCATGGCTATCACATCTGTTAAATTTATCATGGATCATGAACATCTGTTTTGGGCATCACTCTAGCACTTCTCTATTACGAATATCTGTCAGTAATTGAGTGATCTATTTGCTATTTTGTTTTCTTTTTTGCTTTAGCTCTATCATAACAGTATGCAAAAATATTTTTGGAGTGGAATGTACTGAACTCTTCATGTGCCCTTCTAAAACTAATAGCTATAGCAAACCAGACATTAGGCCCTAGGATATGAAGCCTGATTGAGTTGCTTACCCAGTATTTCACATTTTAGAGTTTCTGTGCTTTTTTCGGCAGTAAAACTAGTTTAGTGACAGTTTTGTTGGCCACTAACATGTGCAGGTGTGTGCAAGGAAAAGAAAAACTTTTGTGCTCACAGATGAAGGTTCAGTTTTCGCCTTTGGGTGGATGGGTTTTGGTAGTTTAGGATTTTCTGATCGAGGAAGCTCTGACAAGGTTATGAAGCCACGAGTCCTCGATAGCTTGAAATCCCACCATGTAACCCAAATCAGTACTGGACTCTACCACACTGTCGGAGTTACTAATAGAGGTCTAGTATTTGGCTTCGGGGACAACGAGAGGGCACAGCTTGGGCATGAAAAGATGCGAGGTTGCTTAAAGCCAACAGAAATAGTTGTTCAGAGGACAATGGATGATATAGCGATTGCAGCACAAAGTGGGTGAAGAGTTTCTTCTCTACGAGGTGCCTATATTCTTACATTTGTTTAGCATCTCAATGCATTTTGTTTAGCTTATAACGGAATTGTTCTTTCCTCATAGTATTGTGTCTTAGTCTCTGAATAGTTTGATTGAAGTGTCAAATGTAGAGGTGTCATGGACTATAATAATGTAGTTTGTCAGGGCCCATGTTAAATCATGCGTAAGCAAGTGCAAAATTTGGTATCAGAAATGTAAACCAGTTGTTTTGGCTGTTGATTTGTCATGCGTTATTGGATTGACTGCACGGTGGATTACTCCATCTTGGTGTCTGTATAACATTTGTTGACATGCAAATCCTTAAATGTTCATCCCACAGTATTAGATACAATATTATTGCATGTATTTTATGTGAGAACTACCATCTTTTTTGTTGAATATTGATCGATAACGTTATGGCAATATAATAATACGTGTAACATTACACGCATGCGCGATACATGTGAAGCGTTTCAGTTTTCGTCAACTTTCGACCAGCGTCTGGAACATACGGCGCAACTCCAACGGTAACAATTAATTTAGATCACTGACGTGCTCTTCTTTGTTCAAAATTACAATCCAAAGCTGCGTCAGCGTTGTGGCGCCATATCTCGACCGGTCGTTCGACCGGCCACCGGTCCGGTTCAGGATAGAGAACGCGAGATATGGAATGATTGCTATAGAAGGGGTATGCCGCCGCCGTTGCTTCTGGCTTTCTATTACAGTCAGGTCTACCCTCATTTCAAATTCCTCAAAGCCCGCCCTCTTTCTACCTCCCCTTCTTTTGCTCCCCCCATTTAGTAGCTCAATAAACGAAGCCCTAAAACAAGAAATCTATCGACCGAAGTTGAGCTCTTCTCCCTTCCCTTCTCCTCTTTTCCTTCCACACCCCGTTCATTAGTTCAAGAAACGAAACCTCGATCGAAGGAGAGCGATGGCGACCAACATCGGGATGATGGACTCGGCATACTTCGTGGGCCGGAACGAGATCCTCGCGTGGATCAACTCCACTCTCCAACTCAATCTCTCCAAGGTCGAGGAGGTATGTTATCTACTAACCTTTGTTGTTCGCATGGATCGATCGCAGTGCGTGTCTTGATGACATAGTTTGGGTCGGGGATCGGTGGCGATCGTGGGGTTTCCAGGCCTGTTCCGGGGCCGTGCACTGCCAGCTGATGGACGCTGCGCACCCGGGGATCGTACCGATGCACAAGGTGAACTTTGATGCCAAGAATGAGTACGAGATGATCCAGAACTATAAGGTCCTTCAGGATGTCTTTAATAAGCTCAAGATAACCAAGGTCTTCCATTCTTCTCTCTTCTGTATTTTACTTTTTTTTTTGTTTTCTTTCTCCTTTTTGGTTGATTGATTTTGAATAAATTGTGCAACATAGGGATTAGACGTTTTGTCCTTTCTTTTATTTATTTACTACCTTGGGATGTTACAGATTGTTCTTGTTGCTACTGTTTGTTGATGATATATTTTTCTGCCACAAGCGATTACTTATATATATGTCACAGTATTTTGTGATTGTGGTTAATATGTTTGCCTGTCTGGCAAAGTATTTATTTTAATGATTAAGGAGAGCTTCTTGCTCTCTCTCTCTCTCTCTCCTCTGCTCTGTGGATCTTCGTGGTCTTTTAATCTGTCGGTGCTTGTGATATTTGGTGGTTCTCTAACGGAAATACATGGGATTTGTTATAGTTAATTATGCATTATATGGGAAACGAATGGCAGGATGGTTAGTAGTCCAATTCTTTCGGTTGATACTTCCATGTTGTCTGTATGTTTCCTTAAGTCATGATTGGTTTCGGTGGCTTTTTCTCAAAGCAAGACTTTTCAGATCTGCTGTTCAATTTAGTAAATCAATGAAAACCGATCTTTATATTCTATAGACGTTCACTAAAATAGGTTGCTCGATATGACCTTTTCTTTCGCATACAGCACCTTGTAGAGAAGTTATGAAACTTCGTTACTGATGAGTGTACAGAGCCATTTTGTAATGAGTTCGCACAATGTAATACTGGATTTTATTTTGAGTACAAACATTAAATGGGAGCATGTGGACCAATTTGTTGTTGGTTCAAAGATCTGATAAATGCTCTTTGTACGATTGCTATTATTGCAAATGTTGGTTCTTCCCTAAGAGAAATCATGATCACTATCGAGTCAAACCAGGACATTATTATTAAATCAATGTGTGTGTGTGTGTTAAATGAGTTAGATGAGGAATTCTGTATGATCTTATATAGGCTGTCGGGACTGGATATCTGGAATTAATTAATTAATTTTTTACAGCTGTCATCATGTTCTGTTAAATGAGTTAGATGAGGAATTATGTATGATCTTATATAGGTGGTTCTCGGGACTGCTATTAAACAAAAAGTTCTATTAAATGTTTGGATAGGTCAGCTTTGTATTGATGAAAGGGTCTCTCTTGTCGTCATGTCATTTTCTTTCTAATAAATTGCAATTGAATATGTCCTTTTACCGTCTTTACTTGTCAGCACATTGAAGTAAACAAGCTTGTAAAAGGAAGGCCCCTGGACAATTTGGAGTTTATGCAGTGGATGAAGAGATACTGTGATTCTGTCAATGGTGGTGTTCTGATCAAGTAATTTCTAAATCTTTTTTCCTGCTTATTTACTGTATAACAATTCAACGCTAAACATCCAAACAAAATTTATGTTTAAAATCTAGCTACTCTCGTGCCAAAAGAAAATCAAAAGCTTAATGTTTAAGATGCAGCTACTCACGAGCAACAATCAAAGGCTTAAATCATGCACATGATGACCCTCTTCTCTTATTTTGTTTTACAGCTATAATGCTTTAGAGAGGAGGGATGCTTGCAGAGGTGGAAAAGAAGCAAACAAGAGGTCATCATCGTCTTCTCAATCATCCGTCAGATCTTCATCTGCTGCCATTAAAACTCAAGCCTCCCATGCTACAAAAAAGAATGATGGGCATGTTGCAAATGGATCGCATAGGACCATAAAACCTGCCACTAGTTCTGTTGCTCATGCTTATGATGAACAGGTTAGTTATTAGATAAATAATTCAGCATTGTTTTCCCCCAGAATATTTAAATGTCCAAGGCCTAAACACTACACAAAATGCAGATCACTGAGCTGAAGCTTTTTGTGGATAGCCTTGAGAAGGAAAGGGACTTCTACTTTGGTAAATTGAGGGACATTGAAATTTTATGCCAGAACCCTGAGATAGAGCACTTGCCTGTAAGTATACTTTTCCTGTCAGCATTGAAATAGGCTATTTGACGAGGACAGATTAGATGAAAGAAGAAATATAGTAATACCACATTGGAATGCAGATTGTTTGTGCAATTCAGAAGATACTGTATGCTGCAGATGATAGCTCATCTGTCGTGGCAGAAGCACAAGCCATGATAGCACAGCAACGGATCGAACCACCGCCACTCAGCCCTATCCTTGAGACGTCAGAAGAAAAACCAAAGCAAGAAGTGCAGAAGAGAAAGGATATCTCCACCCTTGAGTTTGATGCGGCGGCCCATTCGACGCTGTCCCCACGGCAGAGGCTCTCTGACATCTCGGATGTGCACTACTGTGGATCACCACTTACCAACTACTGAGAAATTTTCGAGTTCAAAGCAGGTCCATCAACTAAACCGGTCCATTTTTCTTGGGTGCTTGCTTGTGAAGGTACATGCTTGGCTCAGTCACTTTGCTCCTTATCTTAACCAGGTCTCCGTAGCAACGGAGCGTTGCCCATGAAATGGAATCTCATATGCATTTCCTGATATGAGATTTGGTGCCAAATTTGGCTTTGGAATACCGGATGTGGGTTGGAGCCTTCAGCTGTGTGCTCACTGTAAGCTGTTATTCTTTCTCATGTTTCTCCGGACACTCTTGAGCAGAAATTGCTTTGGACTCCTAAACAAGTTGTTCTGTCTGATATTTTAATGGTTAACATAACCTCCCCATGCAAGTTGATTCGTCTATTATTTTACCGGTAATTTTGGAAGTGTTTGAGATGATAGCAGCAGGTAACTGCAATAGTTGAATTGATTAGGTTTTCGCCTTTATCTGCTCATAAATCAGGCATACAGTTAACGTTTTTGGGTAAAGATCTGTTTGTCGCGTTGAAATGGTAGCTGATATGATAGTAAGGAAATCAGATTTGGGGCCGTCTTTATTAGTTTAATTAGAGAATCTTGACATAAAAGCTCGAGAGAATACTAGAAAATTTATAAAAAGATGGTGTGAGAATTACTAAAAAAACACCATCCAAACTAATTGGTAAATAACCTTTGTAGGGTATTTAGATCATTTTGTATAAGATACAAAAAGATATCAATAAAAATATATTTACATATAGAAATATATTATTTGATTATTATATTTAGCTTTAAATTTTCGTGTAGTCAATTTATATTAGCAGCACATTAAGATTTGAAACTTGACATGTGTGCATCAACATGACAAAAAGAAATACAAGAGAGTCAATTATCCCGAATCTGTCACATTAACAAAGAATATTTTGATAATATTTTGTCGATTTTTATTATTTCCTCTTTAAAAGCCATGATTTAATCTTCTTTCCATCTTCACACTTTAATTTTCCATTTAGGAGACTAGAGGTGACTTCTTTCTCATGCAAGCTTGATAGGATTGAACTTTAACTGCGAGTTGTCGGAATGTGAAATTTAAACGAAGTCAAACTATAAAATTATTTGATAGAAAAGGTTTCGGAAGAACATAAACAGTAGCCTAAGATTATAATTTGACCACACACGTATTGGAAGGTCGAGAGCTTCGAAGTGCAAGGTTGAAGGTCGTGCACGTTTCGTGTGGCTTGAGCTAGCCAAGCCCGACCAACAATGGGACAAGCCCGAGTAGAACCTACTCGACCCTTTGTAAGAAAACGATCACTAGTACTAAAACTAATAACATAAATACATGCAATATCTAATTACGTCATGTCACTTAATATAAGTAAAATATTTCTTTTACACATCGCATGATGTGTTTGTTCAAGATAAAACAATATGTAGGGCACTTGACACGAGCAAAAAAAAAAACCAAAGACAAAAAAATCGTATAAAGAACTAAATGCAACAACTTTATAAGATCTGATTATTTAGGTAATTCGTACGAAATCAGAGTAAGGAGAAAAGCAATCAACATATTCAAACATTGTTGGGAGTAGGAAAAAAATGGAAGGAGAGAATCCTCCAAGTTAGTTAGTACGAATGGTATGTACCAGGGGATCAATATGTGGACCATCATTTATCAAGTGGTAATTATTGAAATATAACTATTATCAATCTATAACGGTCGGATTTCAATCGTTATCGATGTAAGGGATGAGATTACCCTCTTTTAAATAGTCAAGTTGACCATTTGAACCATACGACAGGGTTTTTAAATCCTTTCCTTACCCATCTTTCAACTCGTATCACTCTCTCAAACTCATTCTCACCCACATCTAACAATTCAAATCATTTCTTTATAGATAATTCAATATTAACGGAAGAACGGTTTAGTATTCTTTCCTAATTTAATTTAATTTTACTAAAATTATACAATTTATATTTACTTCCAACTTATAAACTCTAATATAACTTCTTTTTTTTTTCTATTTTCAAGTATTTTTGGAGCTATTTTTGATTTTTTTTTTTTAGTGTATCATCAGTACACCTTGGTACATACCATACTAACCATTGGTCGATATAATAGTACGGACTGAAATTGTAAATCTTACTTTTAAAAGTCCATTCTCTTTTATCTATAGAAAAATTTTAATTCTAGTTATATTTAGGGGGTTAGCTCAAACCTTAGGCGAGGTAAGTTAGGTCATTCATTTCTCCTTCGCCACGATGACCTTAGGGTCGGGGCTGATTATGGCTACTCTTATTTCGGCCTATTGCGTGACTCCTTATGCTTGCTCGAGATCATTGCCTCGATGATAATATATTAATTGACCATTTAAAGTGCCTATGATATAGTTACTAATAGTTTCTCTATCAACGACTAGAAGTGTTAAGAGGGCTTTAACCCCATTATGAAGGTCTATATTATGATTAATAGATGAGCATATAACATGCCTCGAATTTTGCTTGTGGATCGAGTGATGAAGTTTACGAGCATTTCTTCCTCTCCTTGCCTAAGTTCGAGGAGCGTTGCCTCTGATGGTCATAGGTGTACATTTCCAAGTAAGTGAAGTTTGAACTCCTTCGTGAGCTACACAAAAACCTAAAGGAAATTAGTTTTAGGCGAGCATATCATTCTTGTGTTGGGCCTCTTAACGTGGTTGAGAAGGTACAATACATCAAAGTGTTTGAACCATACAATAACATTTAGGTATGAAAAGTTACAGTATGCTCCATCAGATCGGTTGTCATTGAATGTCTCCAAGGATGAGAGGTGGAAGTTCGATTTGGTTCCTCTTAGATTTTTTGGGTGAACGACGATCGACTTGAGGTGGGGTCGACCAGTGCTTCCATTTTTCATTGTTGGAACTCTCATTGTATCTCCTCCAAACGTCAGTCCATCTATTGTCGTTGGATCTATAGAAAATCCTCCATCTACTCCACTAATTGGGCCTTGGATTCAGGTAGGATAGGATGGTGGTGCAGTCCGCTAAATTCCATGGTTAGGGACCTAAGTACCTCCTCGACTAGTAGTTTGATAGGTCTAAGGTACTCTTGGGATGTCGGCACCACGCTAGGTCGAGGAACCTTAACAAGGGCTAGTGGCTGAGCTAGTGGCATCGTTTGCTAGGTTAATTAGGGCAAAAGTAAAGCGGCAGCTTATATCATATCTACTAACATATGCACTTGCTAAATGAGATTTAAGAACACCTCGATGAGAATGAGTAGATGGCTCGAGTCATCCCTACGGGTGAGAGACTCGGGTTGTTAAACATACACTAATATTACATCAACATTTGCATTGAGGTGGATATGCCTATGTGCGGAAAGGGTGGTTGTTGCTCCCCTTAGGTGAAAGTATGGTGAGTCGAGTGCAAAGCCTATTCACTCAAGCGTTCATTGAGATGGTCTACTAGCAAGTATTCCTATGATATCAAGCCCTCCTTCTCATACCAAAATATTACAGGAACAAGTCGTTGTCATCTTGGTCAGCCCGACATGATCCAGACCCATATGCATAAGGTTGTCCGAGGTACCTCCGAGATGAAAGCATCGAGCTCCCAAGGTATCATCTATATAAAGATCGAGGACGGGAGAGGTTTTCCGGTCCGATCCCTTCAACCCCCAAGTTAATAACTCGAGATATACGAGTATGGATGTGAGTAATAAAAAATATGATCCCCCTATTTCATTGTGTTGAAGATGAGCTTTTATACTTGATCATAAAGAAATAAAATATTACATGAGATATTCTAAAATGAGGTATCCTCTAACCGCTTTCGACAATCTCTCCTTAACCTTTTATCCATGCGAGCGACAAAGGGGAGGGGACAACCCATAATCGTCTGCCTTGGACTCTTTATCCACAAGAGAATATACGAGTTGGGTTGTCTTCTTCTTCTACTTCCATTTGAGACACCATGTGGAGGCCATGTGTCATATGACATGGAGGCCACATGATGGATTATAATTGGTTGATGATGTTTTCCTAATCAAGTATCATCCCAGTAGAAGGTTTTTAAAAAAATAATATTTAACATGGATAAAAAGGTTTAACACATGTCGACGTAGTTGTCACTCGACAAATACATCAGTGTCGATGCAGATACAGAGCGACATGGGCGGGTGACAATGGAGGGAGCGATAGGAACGATAAAAAGAACCCCAATTTCGAATCAAGGCTAGGATCCGCCCAACAAGTTAGTGGTGTGGTGACCACAATCTTCATTATAGACATCGCAGCGACCACCACTAACTGCGTCGACGTCACTGTCCACCACCACCGATGATATTCGTCATCGAATATTGATATTATTTTTTTACTATTTGTTTTTATATTTTCTTGGTAAAACTAATGTCGTTAGGGTTAATGGACTTAAATATTTTACTTTCATAATTATAGGGATACTAATATAACTTTTTAAAATACATAGATTAAAATACTAAATGTAACTAAATAAAAAAAATACATATCTGGCATGTGTCTGGCCGAGATGGATGTATGTATCCGTCCAAAGATTTGCTCTAAAGATTCGTCCTCTCGCGCTAAAGATTTGCTCGACTTGTACCGTCGACGCTCGTGTCATTTCATTTGAAGGGTTGTATGGAGTTTGTGTGGAGGTCATGAGGCTTCGCATGGGTTCTCGTGTCTCCGCATGCATACGTTTGGTTTGAAGGAGAAACATAGATGCTTGGGTTTGATGAGAAGGGGACGATTTCGATGGAGAGCCCACGATTGCTTGCTGCGAATAACGTGTTCAGCTAAAATCTCTTGCTCGGTTTCTCTATTAAATAATTTCCCCATCTAAGTCTGAAAACACAATAATATTATCAATCCAAAGAAAAATAAACTTGCATGTATTCGCCTTTTTTTTTTTTTTGTCACTTGTAGTAGCACATCAGTCAGCCTTTAAATTCAAATACACTCAATATGAGTTAATTATATATTATTTTATATAATTAGTTATTCTTAATATTTTGATTTCTACATATTATATTATGATCCCTATACTTATAAAAATAAAATATTTAATTCTATTTCTACTTACGTCATCAATTTTACTAGTAAAAAATATTACACAGCTCAGTGGTAAACCAAAGTAAGACAGAATCAGTACGTGCTGAGATTAGATGTATGATTTTCATAAGTATAAGAATTCTAATATAACTTTTGAGAATATAAAGATCGAGATACTAAAGGTAACTAATTACAGGAGATAATTTATAATTAATTCTATTATAAAATATGACTTTCATATCCCAACTGAACTTTGCCTATTAAATGCATGCCTAAGTTTCGAATAATCAAACTTCCAAACATATGAAAATAATAATAATTATCATATATAAAAAATGCTCTTGGACATCTAATGAACAACTGAAAAGGACAGCATAATAGCAGCATCTTGGTCATGAACACAATACCCATCTCTTTTGCAAAAATTTGATTTGTACAGTAATAAGAGTAAGACGATCATTCAGTAACATCAACCAGAAAAGCTTTTCTACTGTTTGCAAGCCAGTTTTAAATAACAGGTAAGTCTCCCGGTACCCTACACATGCATGGTAGGGAGCAATCGATGTCACGACACTAGGTGATTACAGCATCTTCGATAGAACAGTAAACAAGACACATTGTTCTCATATGTACACCTCAAGATATTGCCTCTGATGCAGAACAAGCCAAAGTGTGCCAAGGGTTCAAAGCTCATAAGCTGGAAACCTTGATTCGGAAGGTCTGATCATGTCCAAAAAGAGATGTGCCATGCCAGCCTGCCCTTCAAACATCGAATATGGTCGGTCACCGCTATGCATTCTCCCATCTGCAATCAGCTGGTTAGCTCTGTCTAGGAGGAAGCAAGCAAATGCTTTAGCTCGATACAAGTACTCGACCCTCCCAGTTAGCCGATATAGTGAGAGGAACACGTAAGTGTTCCCGCTTATACCATGGCAAATGCCAACTCTCTTCAGCAGGCCTCTGCTCCAGACGACCTTAGCAGCCTCCTCTGCAGCACCCAAAATCTGCTCATCCTGGAAGACCTGGATGCGCCAGTTGTATCAGAGAATTAGCTACTTACTCTTTTGCAATAAAGGCATGTTCAGCAAAGGATTAAGTCAAGACAAGAAAGGCACCACCACCTGAGAAGCTTTAATAAGGGTCAGAGCAACACCAGGGGCACCATGGCACCAATGCACAAGGCGGTCTGAATTAGAGCCCTGGCTCGATGGGTAATTCCCACTTGGGAAGCGGTGATTTATCATGTAGCTGAGTGTACCTTTAATGCATTCCTTATCTTCTGGCTTCAGTTCCATATCCATCAGGACATGCATGATTCCTGCAAGCCCATGAGCAGCACCCCAGTATTTCTTTCCATGCCACTCGTACATCAGCGGGCAGCTGCCTTTGTTGGATAATCTTTTGCCATCCAAGATGATTTCTTTTGCTACTGGACTCTGTCATAGCATACAAGATGTTATATCTACCGTATTTTTCTTACAGATGATGCACAGGGAAGCAATACAGCCAACAATTCACCATGTGAGTCGAAGGGATTGTACTCTCGCCTATGTGTTTATTTAGGAAAGAACATGCCCACAAGTACCCAACTTTTCCATATAAAAGTTCATTAGGAACATCTCGCATCTTTATCTGCTTGAAAAAGGCAACCAAGTTACTGAAAGAACATGAGCGAGAACACAATACCCATCATGCAGGATTATATCTAGTAAAAATGAAGAGTGCTATAGCAAAAAGAATAAATGTACAAGAAACAAACAAAGATGATTCTGTCAATGTTAATACTGGCTAATGTGTTTGTAGGAACAGGAACCAGTAAGATGAATACGGAAATAGCCATATAACAGAACGAAAGACAACAAGGATGATTTTGCAGTCCATATGTTCAGTCAATCTGTCATAGAACTCATTTATTCAAATCAAGACAATTCAGAGAATTTGAAAATATTCTACATAGGACCATCTCGAATGATTTTGGGATTGATTGGCACCTGATCTTAGTTGAATGTCTCAGAAAAATAGATTCACAAGAAATTAAAGAGTTCAAACACGGAGATGGGCATATCAAATATCAACAATGCTGGAGTCTTATCTTGCAAGTTACTCTACATATTTGAGCACATTCAGATTGTAAAAATATTTTGCCCGTCATTAAAATGAAAAAGAACATGTTTTATTCTCTTTACTTCTCCTCAAGAAGGAAAAAGGGAAGAAGCCAACACTAGAGTGACAACATTAATTTCTCAAACAGTATATGAACACACCTTAAAGGAACAATACACGTTTACTAATTGCTGAACTTGCACAATGATCTGTCTCACAATGAGATAAAAGTACGACCTAAAATTTATGGAATTACCAATTTCATTACCTCCCTGAATGAGCTCAAATAATGGTTGAGGAGCACATTGTCTCCAGCTTGCTTTGCGACGACAGCCCCAAGAGCACACACTCCCGCACGCCCACATATGAACGTCACATGCCTACTCCAAACCAAATCCACGCTCAAACCAATCAAGCAACCATTATGGACGAAACAAGACCTGAATGTAAAAAAGCATCTACCGTGACCCAGCCGAAACAGAATCACAAGCCCTTATAATCTCGCCACAGAGGCTGAGATCACTTAGGTTGTTGGTGACCTGGTACGCCTTGAAGAGCAAGAAAGCCGTTCCAAGAGCACCCGTGTAGAGGGTGAAATCCTTAACTCGCCGCCCATTGCGCAGCCACGTCTCCTTCACAACCTGTAATAAGCAATAGTACAAACAACTTGTAAGCACCACCAAAAGCTACCTTTCCAGAGATAATTAACATTGTCAGCTACTAGGAAGCAGGTAAACCTCAGAATAGTCCTAACTGAACCAAAGCATGCAAGAAAGCGAGCAACGAAAGAACGCGACCTTCTCCTTGAGATCGAGTGCAGCTCTTAGAAACTTGTCGGCTAATTTGGTGTAGGGAAGGCAGAGGAGGCTGTGGAGAGTGGATTGAGCAACCGCACCTTCCTGTTCTTCCACGAAATCGGGCATCTCATTTGGGAAGTAGCGATCAGCCATCCCTTCGGCAGCGACACTTTCAGCGAAAAGGAGATTTGCGGAACGAGCGGCGGCGATTCACTTTGCCCGTCTCGTATTTATGATTATTATTCGGGAAGATGCAACGTTGTGTGACCGTCGTGGCATCTATTATGATGCTCCACCTGGGCCTACAACTCAACTTATGAGGATCGTGAGATAGATGATGAACGGCTCATGATCCTCAAGTTGATGCGAATCGAAGAGTTCATAATTGCACATAAAAACTATAACTTAAATCACCATTTTTAAATTAATATTTAGTAAATTATTTTAAATCATATTTGACCTACTATATTGGAAATATTCAAATATACATTGGAATTTCATGAGCTAGCATCAGCATTTCATAATTTATATGATGTTAATATATTTTTTATTTTTAAAAATTAATATAATTTATATTTTTATAAAGATAATTTTTATATTTATTTTTAAAAGTTATTTCATTTATTTATATGATTATTTTTTATTTATTATATATTTGGACAATATGAACATTTTTATAAGATTACACACATGCATTTATTTATTTTATTTTATTAATATATATATATATATAATAAATATTAAAACTATTAGAAAGATGAATTTATCATAAAATATTTGATAAACTTTTGAAATATAATTTTACCAAGCAACACTTATATCAATACACATTTAAATTATAATTTTTATCTATTATTTATCAAACACTTAAAATATTTCATAATTATAAATTCATTTAAATCTCTTTCTTCAACTGCACATTAAAAATATAAATATATTTTCAAACATAACTAATGATTATAGAAATACCATGGATCCTGCGTCATTGACATTTACTAATTCATGACTAATGAAAAATAACATGTATTTTGACACTTGCAGTAAGAAATATATCACCTCGTAGTACAAATCAGAAAAACATCAAACTCATACAATTTTATGAAGAGAGTTAGACAGATCATTATAACTCTCTTCACTATAAACAAATAATCCCATGAATAGCATGTTGCCGAATTGATGAGTTAAGACAGTCTTGCCATACTTTGAACCTGCAGGAGACAAACTTCGCTATAGAGTAAAAAACCACATCAAAAATATTAGCAGAGTTGCAAGCTTTAGTACATACTTCACAAAACAAGCAAAACCAGTAATGACATTAGTGGATGATGCAGCACTTCTCAGACACTTCAAGTTAGTTACTGCTACATAGTCACACCGTGACATACTTACACATATGCACACCATGACAGGAAGCAACACATTTGTTCTGACCGAAAAAGAACTAAAACTACAGGAGGTCAAGCTTTGTATGCCGGAAATCTTGATTGAGAAGGTGTAGTCATGTCTAAAAAGAGGTATGCCATGCCAGCTTGCCCTTCAAAGAGTGAATAAGGATGATCACCACTGTGCATCTTCCCTTCGGCAATCAATTTATTAGCTCTATCTAGCAGAAAGCAAGTAAAGGCTTTTGCTTGATATAGGTACGATACATTCCCAGTTAGCCGATAAAGTGATAAGAAGACATAGGCATTCCCGCTTACACCATGACAGATCCCAACTCTCTTCAGCAGGCCTCTGTTCCAGACCACATCAGCAGCTTCTGCAGCTGCCTTCAGAAACAGCTTATCTTGGAATACCTAACAAGATATACTTTCCATTAATTTAGTAACCACAATTACTTGTAATAGTTGCCCACAATGTGGAGGAACGAAAGGCAGATAAGATTAACACCTGAGCAGCTTTGGTGAGGGTGAGAGCAACACCAGGTGCTCCATGACACCAATGCACAAGGCGATCTGTATCAAATCCCTCGCTTGAGGGATAGTTCCCGCTAGGGAAATGGTTTTGAATCATATAGTGAAGGGTGCCTTTCACATATTCCAGGTCCTCCGGTTTGAGATTAACATCCATCAGAACATGCATGATTCCAGCAAGCCCATGAGCGGCTCCCCAGTACTTCTCGCCATACCACTCATACATCAGGGGGCAGCTGCCCTTGATGGCTAGTCTTTTCCCATCCAGGATAATGTCTTCTCCTATTGAACTCTATAAAATTATGCAAGTAATTACATCAACTTATTTTGGATAATACTCAGGTGGAAACAAGAAATTAGGATAAGAAACTTACCATGTCAGTTGAGGGTATCGTTCCCTCTCCAATGTGTTTATTTAAGAAAGAACATGCCCACAAATAGCCAGCTCTTCCATACAAAAGCTCATTCGGAACATCACCGGGCATTTTAATCTGTTTAGAGGATGAACATATTAAAAAACACCCATTAATATGCCATCACTCTTCTATGCAATTAAATAAGAGAAATGTTACTAAATGAATTAAAATTTTGAAATCTTGTCACATGCGAGTGGATCAGTGTTGTTGAACTTTGATCACAATTTTCATCATAGTCATTTACAAAAAATCTTGATATATTTCATTCTATGAAGAGTCTAACCTGTGGACCATCAACTTAGTTTCATCTTGGCCAGAAGAACTTTACTTTTTCATGCCCTCATGAGGACCTTCTAGTCAAGTAGATTTCTCCTATCAGAAACAGATAATGCGGATAGAGAATTGGTGTCTAAAGCTCTATGGGATCAATCAGAATGAACCAAGTTCACAATTTTACTACATTAGAGATCATATGCTAATTGAACTTCAACATGGCCATCATACATAAATCTTATAAAACATATGAAGTGATCATAAAAGGGTGGAGCCTTCGAAATGAAGGATTAGGAAGGGCATCTAGGAAAATAAGGGAAGCTATAGGGATTAACAATTTTCAGGTTGATATCTCTTCTGTAAATCATCGTCAACTAAAACTGCTGCACATAGATCTCCATCAGTACACAATGTGGAATTCTAACTCTCCCAAGAATTATTTAACATATAGTCATAAACCTCTAAATCTATCCATGCGAGCCTAATGTTTATCCTTTTCAGATATGTCCCAAGCACAGGGAAAATAAGGTTGGATCAATCAGATAATTGCTGATGTGAATAACCAAAACAGTGCCAACAAAAGCTTTTACTGAATACATGTAGTAGTTAATTCATTTGGACAAACCAAATTGCATCTCTGAATGCTTGTGAATTAATGACAGGTAGAGATAGGTAACTAGATTATCTAGATATTGTTACATATGATGATTCCATGATCATTCCCCTTGAAATCCGATGATTTCACCAAAAGATCATGTTATTCCCACTTTGAAATCGCATAGGAAATTCAAGTCAATTGTCAAAACATGAGAATTTGGATCCTTATGGTATACTTGAACTTGGAAATCATACGAATGAGATTAAAAAATTCCAGCATATACATGGAATGTGGATGAAATCCCTCAATCAAATGCAAAAACGAGTTGAAATTTGAAAATCCTAGGTTACGCCCAATACACAAAACCTCCAAATCTAAGGTTTCAAAGGTCAAAGTATGAAGCTTTACTCATGCAAACGGAGAGACAATTTCCATGATTACAATAACCTTACTAAGATATCACAATCCATCTTAAAAAATGTGATTATAAAAATGTGGCAAACACGTATCTGTTGAAACTTGTATCCTCAGTTTGAGCATTTGAATAACTCTGAAACGTTTGTGGATACAATTTGAAGTTAGAAAAGGATCCATGCAGATGACATTATTAAACAGTTCCATTGCTAGCTTAGCAAAGCTGTGGTATTTGCATAATGTTATGAACCACGAAACTCACCATCATGATCAGACAAGAAAATTTCTGACGCGTGAAACCTCTTTCTGATCGAAAAGATCTACCTTGTCAAGAGCATTTTCCAGAATAGCACAAACGCAGAACTTACCTCTCTAAACGATCTCAAATAGTGCCTGAGCAGGTCCTCATCTCCCGCTTCTTTAGCCACCACCGCGCCAAGAGCGCAAACGCCGGCCCGCCCACATATGAACGTCACGAACCTGCTCCGACCCCAATTCACATTCGAGTCAAACCCACAGACCCTCGTTCATCACATCAAGACAGATACAAATTGATCCTTCATCTTACGGCGAACCCTGGGAAGCTTGATCGCAAGCCCTAACAATCTCGTTGCAGAGGCCGAGATCACTTCGGTTGCTGGTGACTTGATAGGACTTGAACAGCAGAAAGGCCGTGCCGAAGGCGCCGGTATAGAGCGTGTAGTCCTTCGCGCGCCGCCCGCTGCGGACCCAAGTCTCCTTCACCACCTGAAACCAACAATATCACAAGCAAACAAGGAGTATGCACGATTAAAGCGATGGAGCATGAGACCAAAGAGGATGAGGAGAAGTTGACCTTGTCTTTGAGATCAAGCGCGGCTTTAAGGAGCTTGTCGGCCAATTTGGGGTAGGGGAGGTAGAGGAGGTTGTGGAGAGTGGATTGGGCGACGACACCTTCCTTTTCTTCCACGAATTCCGGTAGATCATTGGGAAAGAAGCGATTGGCCATCGCCGCGACTGTGAGCGTTCACGAGAGCTTGGAAGAAGCGTCGATGAACCCTTCGCAGCCACTGATATGACCGGGAAAGAGAACTGTAGAGATGGTGGCACCTGCGATATATGACACCTAGAAATAGTAATTATTTTTCTTATTTGGTTTTTCTTTTTGTTCTCTTGAGATAAATTTTAAATTTAAATATTTTAAATCAATTATTCATGCGTATTAATTATATTCCATGGGGCCATATCGTGACATAATAATTTTCATATTTATATATGTATAAGAGGTCAATTTATGTGAATCATCATATCAGGTTTCGTTCATAGCTAACAAAGCTTAATAAATAAGTTCCGGACTAATTACATATTATACCATACCATATAGTTAGTTACATTTAATATTATAGTTTATATATTTTAATAAGTTATATTAGTATCCAGTTACCAAAGTGAAACATCTAGTTTCATTTACCATAATGACATTAGTTTTACCGATAGAAACATGAAAATAAAGGGTAAAAATATAATTTTAATGTTCGATGGTGGACGATGACGCTATTGGTGTCTACGCCAATGTAGTTGTCTGACCGCCTCCAATGATGATAAGGTCTGCTCTCACTACGACGTCGCCCGCCTCCATAAGGAGAGTGCCACCAACCTTATCGTCGCCTGCCCCATGCCGCAATGACCACCACCATCTGTGTCAATATTATTATAGTTGTCGAGCGACATATGGTGGTGGTTATCACGACGTCTACGGCAAAGATGATGGTCCCAATGCCATTGACCCGTTGGGCGGGGATCCCAATCTCAACCCGAAGAGGTAAAGGAAAATAAGGAGGAGGACGACAGTGGAGGTGAACATAACCTCTACCTCCGTTGGCGCTTCCGCCTCATCAGTCATGGCCATCGCCACCTGGTCTTCACCATCAACGATGTGGGCGGCACCCTTGCCTTCGCATCTACCACCTATCGCGGCCTCCACTATAACATTCTCGAGTCCCTCCACCTGTCAACACCGACATAGATGTCAAGCGACATCACTTTGCATCAACGTCGATACAGATGAAGAGCAACCCTTTTGTCGCTCAATAACTGCATCAATGTTGATGCTGATGCAGAGCGACGAAAGAGTCTCTTGTCGAGAAATGGTGTCAGAACTAATGCAATAGGAGCTCCGATGACCCCAACTTTGAGTCGAGGTTGGGATTCATCCAACGGGTCAACAATAAGGTGACCACCATCTACGTCATAGATGTTGCAACGCCACAACTATCTTCATCGGCGTCGATGCAATTGCCGCTCTGTCACGACCTTAGCTGGAATTGCCTAAGGCGTGCGGCACCCTTGCGGCCAACGACGCGAACTTAGCTTGCGTTGCCTAAGTCGCGAGTCACTCTTGCGGC